ATTTTCAAAGCTTTATTAGATGCTTTATTGGGTAATGGGAAGATCAAGGAAGCGGAAGAATATTATAACATGATTTCAAATTGCTCAAAAGGTATCCATTTTATGATTCCAGTTGGCAGAGATGATTTCATTTGACATTTTTGAATAAAATCATCAATTATGTTATTTCCAGATGACCAAGTAGTGAAAAGAGTCTGTAGTTGCAAAGTAATACATCCTTCACAGATTCTATCAGAGTATCTTGTAGATTTACATTTGTTACATTCTTTTGGTTTACCCGATTTATATGTTACATTATTTAATTCAGAGGCATAAAGAAATCATTCTTTACAATATTCTTTTTCATTCTCAGAAAGCTCCTTGTTTTTTTTGATTGATGAAAAATAATAATCTTTTACAAATAACTCCTTAAATTTCCCTCTGGAGCATAATCTAAAACACTTACATAATTTCCATTATCTGGGAATTTAGTTATACCATAGCAAGGATTAATTCCTACTGATTTAATTTTACAATAATTCATTGCCTGAAATTGAATATAAATTTCAATTAATATTATTATATAATAGAGTATTGTTTATTTTGTTTTAAATGACAATTACCAACCCCATCAAAAAAACCTTTTCCTGGATTACTTGAATCATTTAAACTTTTTAATACTACATCTCTCTCTCTCCATTATAACTAAATTCCTTTTTATTTTCATCGTAATCAATTATACATCCCCTTGTCCATGTAGCAGTATAAATTGAACTAAATTCACCCTCTGTTAACTTTGTTACTTTTTCAAATTGCTCAAAAGGTATCCATTTTATGATTCCAGTTGGCAGAGATGATTTCATTTGACATTTTTGAATAAAATCATCAATTATGTTATTTCCAGATGACCAAGTAGTGAAAAGAGTCTGTAGTTGCAAAGTAATACATCCTTCACAGATTCTATCAGAGTATCTTGTAGATTTACATTTGTTACATTCTTTTGGTTTACCCGATTTATATGTTACATTATTTAATTCAGAGGCATAAAGAAATCATTCTTTACAATATTCTTTTTCATTCTCAGAAAGCTCCTTGTTTTTTTTGATTGATGAAAAATAATAATCTTTTATACTTTCTATATCAGGACTCATTAGAACATTATTTGATATTTCATTACGAATTTTAATTACAAATCCCCTTTTTTTTCTGGTGGTATTAATGATAATAATTTACCATGAGACATCATATGGGGCATACTGCAACAAAATCAGACAAAGTGAACATTTGTATTTACCAAGAATTTCAGGGATCAAAATTGTTTAACATCAGCGTCCTACTAACATTAAAAGTATTTTATTAATATTAATGGAAATGGATATTGTTATTTTTTCTCAATATGTTAATCTTTATTTATATTATCTTGAATTATTTTATAAATGAAATGAAAGATATTGCAAGAAATAGTTTTAATCATTTTTTTTTTATGGTTTTTCTTTTTGGCTGTTTTTCTGGTGTATTAGGCGTTTCTATGTTTTGTTGATTGGCTACCTTGATTCTTATAGGAGATGCACAAATTTCTTTAGAAGAGTCAATCCACAATTTTCTTACCATATACTGAACCAAGCAATGAAATAACAATCAATACATATTAAAGATTATTAAAAAAATAAATCTACCCTTATATTCCAGGCCCAACATATTGCAATTCGAAGCTTGGCATAATCAGCAAGCTGTGGTAGGAAGTGAGAATTGTTTTAAAAGGTGAAGTCTGTATACATCATGTTTTTCCATAATATATATTCATACAACTTTCTGAAATTGCTAAATTAAAAGAAAAAATTTTAAAATCACTTTTAGATTTATACAACAATTAAATGAAATTCAAGCTGATCTCACTCATATTCCGATGGTATATAATTTTGCTTTATGTACCCCCTCAACTTCTGCTTGGGCCAAATTTTCATCTAGCATGACTTTTAACAGCCTGAATAAATGATTACATATCATTTCTTTTTTTTGTTGGGTCATATTTAAGTGTTTCCTTGCCCATTCAACTCTTTTCTCCTTGTGAACCATTGTTAGCATAGGGGTGACTTGCGGGAGGTTTTTCTTACAACCAGGGTTGGATAAATGTCTCAAAATAGTCATGTGAGACACTTCTATTCCTTTTCCTGCTACTTTGTTTACCAATGATCTTACGGTATCTCTTCTGATAATCTGCCCGATTGAACATGAAATATCCGCAGTATTTTTTTTTGGCCGACCACCACCACCTTTATGCAAAATATTATTTGTCTCTTTAATTTTTTAATATTAAATATATAGTAGAAAGGGAATCTTTGTCAGAGTGTGAAGTTCTTTGACAGACCTCACACCCTGGTTTCAGAAATGTAATAGAGTCTGGCGTTGTCTTTCTTGGTCGGATGTAGACATTTTGATGTTAATTTTTTACAACAATTAAAAAATAATAAACAAAAAAACAACCTAAAAAGACAAATTTATTACCTGTGTTTTTTGAAATTGACGCGATGCAAATTTGAGTATGGTGCAAGTCACCTAGTCCCGCAACTTGCTGCGCCTCGTGGCCAATTTTGGGAAAATCACCAAAACTCAGAAT